TGTTTCCATAGCTAGAATTCAAAGTCAACCTGCCAGGTGCTATGCTGCAGTGGTTAAGGGCATGTACCCGGAAGCCAGTTCGACATCCAGGCTCTGCTGCTAAGTGATGAACTCTTGGGCCCCAATGCCCTCATCTATAGCATGGGGATAATAATGGGAGCCACGGGGGATCTGATGGGTCAACGCACATAAAGCACTCAGGACAGTGCCTGGCACTACTACGTGCCACAAGTGTTGGCTATTTTATTTGTTTTGTTATTACTATTTTCGGGTTGTGGGATCCTCTGCTCATCCTCCATGACTGGAAGGGCCTTAGGAAGGAGCAAGGCAAATCATGCCGACCACTGCCCCTCCCTCCAACTCCAGATGCCCGGGTCCGCAGGTCTGAGGGCCCGACAGTGGTTCTGCAGTAGGCTGGGCTCAGGGCTGCGTCTATGTGTGGCCTGCTTGTGAGTGTGAACCTCTGGGTGGGTAGCCTCCATGGGGCTGACTCGGGGGTGACAGGATGGCAGACTGAAAGGCTCTCCTGCCAGCTGACTTCACGGGGCTCTTCCTGTCAAGTGTCAGGCTGGGCACTGCCTGCTTTATATTCGCAGCTCACCGAGCCCACAACACAGTCCTGTAAGCTGAGGATTTCCATGGGGGAAACCGAAGCTCCTAGAGGAGAGGAGCCATGTGCTCCAAGTTTCTAGAACTGCTTAGTGGCCAATCTAGGACTTACATGGGGTCTCCAACCCATGGAGCATGGCTCCGCCTCAGGACCTCTGCACTGGCCATTCCCTCGGCCTGGAACGCTCTTCATCCACCTGTCCACACAGCTCCCTTTCCCCTCCTCCAGGTTTACTCCAGTGTCACCTTCCAGTAACATATCCCTTGACCTTTCTGTTAAAAACCTAAGCACCCGCCACACTCATCGCTCCTCCTTGCTTTGTTCCCACCTCGTCACCATGGGCCTTGCTTACAGTGTAATTTGCTAAGGTGTTCTGTTTCCTGCAGTCTCCCCAACAACCCAGTCCCACGAGCATCTTTGCTGCCTTGTTTGCTACAGTACCCTCTAAGCCCAGCACAGAGCTGGCAGTGGGGAGTGCTGAGTGAACGTCTGTGGAAGGGATGGATCCCAGGCCTGTGGCTGTGAGACTCAAAGGGCCCTGTGCCATCGCCTGAGATGGACCAGAGTCTCCCATGGCTAGTTTTATAGGTGCTGGGGATGGAAGCAGACACACACTGGGAAAGGCATCAAGCCAGTTTCAAACTTAGTGAACAGGAAATCACAGCAAAAAAATTATATAACCCAGCATCCATGTACTAGAGCCTCACTACTCTCAGTATGTGTGACATAGTATGGCATTTTTAGAGACAAGAGTCTCACTATGGTGCCTAGGCTGGTCTTGAACTTCAGGCCTCAAGTGATCCTCCTGTTTTAGTCTCCCAAAATGCTGGGACTACAGGTGTGAGCCACCATACCTGGTCTATATATTATATTTTCTTTTTTTTGAGACAGAGTCTCACTGTGTCACCCAGACTGGAGTACAATGGTGATCCTTGCTCAGTGCAACCTCCACCTCTCGGGTACAAGCAATTCTCCTGCCTCAGCCTCCCAAGTAGCTTCGATTACAGGTACCTGCCACCAAATCCAGCTTTTTTTTTTTTTTTTTTTTTTTTTTTTTGTATTTTTAGTAGAGACGGGGTTTCACCATGTTGGCCAGTCTGGTCTCAAACTCCTGACCTCAGGTGATCTGCCCATGTCGACCTCCCAAAATGCTGGGATTACAGATGTGAGCCACCATGCCCAGCCTATTCTATTTTCATTACGAACATACACACAAACACTAGTACTGAGTTGGCTGAGCTCCTAACTCATGAGTGGGTCCAGTGTGCAGTCTAAGCTGAGTCAGTCAAACCCCAGAGTGCGGCAGCTGGAGCACAGGCAGGCGCTCTGCCCTGCCACTCCCTGGAGGGTACTTTGGGTGAGTCCCTTAACCTGTCTGTGCCTGTTTTGTCATATCTAAATAAGAACAACAGTGTCTTCATCCTAGAATTGTGATGAGATTTAAGTGAGTTAATAGATATAAAAGGCATAGAATATTGCCTGACACACAGTATAAAGGAGATTTGCAGGAATAATATCCATTGCAATAAATATTTTATATATATATATATATATATATATATATATATATATATATTTTTTTTTTTTTTTTTTTTTTTTTTTTGGAGACTGAGTCTCGCCTCTGTCACCCAGGCTAGAGTGGAGTGCAGTGGTGCGATCTCAGCTCACTGCAACCTCTGCCTCTTGGGTTCAAGTGATTCTCATGCGTCAGCTTCCTGAGTAGCTGAGACTATAGACGCATGCCAACATACCCGGCTAATTTTTGTGTTTTTAGTAGACAGGGTGTTTTTTTTATTGCTTTTTTTTTTTTTTTTTTTTTTTGAGACAGAGTCTCACTCTGTCACACAGGCTGGAGTGCAGTGGCGTGATCTTGGCTCACTGCAACCTCCACATTCCAGGTCCAAGTGATTCTCCTGTTTCAGCTTCCCGAGTAGCTGGGATTACAGGGGTGCACCACCATGCCTGGCTAATTTTTGTATCTTTCGTAGAGACGGGGTTTCATCATGTTGGTCAGGCTGGTCTTGAACTCCTGACCTCGTGATCTGCCTGCCTCGGCCTCCAAAAGTGCTGAGATTACAGGCATGAGCTACTGCGCCTGGCCTAGAGACAGGGTTTTACCATATTGGCCAGGCTGGTCTTGAACTCCTGGGTTCAAGTGATCCACCTGCCTCGGCCTCCCAAAGTATGGGGATTATAGGTGTGAGTCATTGCACCTGGCCTATTTATAAGTATATGACTGTGGTCGTCATTTCACTCAGCAGTTGCCCATATGTCCTAAAACAGCCGAATGCAGTGTGAGCTGTCACCTCTCATTCTGCTCTGGTGCTCATCTGGCCAGAAAGGTGGGCAGAGGGAGGAGGGGGTGGGGGAGACAGAGGCGATGACCACCTGTGGTTTGGCACACATGGGTTCAAGGCTGCCTTTTCCTGGCTGCTGCAAAGCCTCCGTGCCATTCCATTCCCCCAACTCAGTGGGAAGGTCTGGGTCAGGGGATGGGGCCAGGGTACTCCGAGCTGCATCTGCCAGCCTGGATGAGGTCCAGGACTTGGCTGGCCCCACAATCAAAGTCCTTGGCAGCCACAGCCTTCTAGGCTTCCATGCCTTGGCAAAGGCCAGGCCCAAGGGGCTGGGGTGTCGCAGGCTGAGGAAGAACCATTTTGGGTTGCCTACCTAGCTGGCGACTGCCCCTTTTCTGGAAAGGTCTTCCTTATTTGGGTCCTCTGGACCTCTGCCATTTCTGCTTGCCTGGCTCCCCTCTTTTTGCTAAGGACCTGCCCTGCCTCTTCCTCCAGGGAGTTCTGGTGGAACTGTCAATCACAGTGCCTGACCCTACCAAGGGTGGGTAACGTGTGCTAGACCTGGCCAGTTTCCTCTACCATCCCTGATCACAGTGACTGGCCCAGGGCTTGGGCTTGCAGTCCAGCGAGATGGAATCTCGCTCTGTCACCCAGGCTGGAGTGCGATGGCGTAATCTTAGCTCACTGCAACCTCCACCTCCCAGGTTCAAGCAATTCTCCTGCCTCAGCCTCCCAAGTAGCTGGGATTACAAATGCCCGCCAGCATGCCCAGCTAATTTTTGTATTTTTAGTAGAGACAGGGTTTTACCAGATTGGCCAGCCTAGTCTTGAACCCCTGACCCCAGGTGATCTGCCCACCTCAGCCTCCCAAAGTCCTGGGATTACAGGCCTGAGTCATCACACCTGGCCAGTCTGAGCCTTTTGAAGGAGAAGGTGTAAAGATATAGAAGATTTGAGCAGCCGACCTCCATTTTCCCATGACAGGGTGACAGCTTGTTGGTGGCAGAAGAAAATGACATTCACAATACAAAAAGCAGAGCCAAGCAGAGAGCTAAAGCAGCGGAGTTCTGGTGATTGCATTTGAGTCTCTAAGTCCAGCAGTGCCTGAAGCTTGCCCTACCCCTAGATTTGCAGTGACACAAACCAATAAATTCTATTTCTGACTTAAGCAAGTTAGAAATAGATTTCTGTCACTTACAATTTAGAGTCCTAATAGAGTATGGGTGCCCCAACGGGCCTTCCCCACTAGCCACAGCTGACATTTAATTCAGAGGAAGGCCTTCAGCCAGGACAATGGAATTCTCTACTCAGAATGGAAAGTGACACATTGAGAGTACCTTGAACTGACTGGCATAACAGCAGTGACTGTGGTTGAGAGTCCCCAATTCCTGTCCTGCCTGAGGCTTGCTGCCTTAATTCTTTCCATTGTGTAGGACACCTCATGATCCTAAAATGGTCCCTTACCTTCCCTTTTATTTCTTATGTTTATTAAAGTTAATCTCTTGCAAACAGATTTTGTAATCTTGGGCTCTGAAGTCAGACACTCTGGACTGAAATCTTGGCCTGGCCGCCGATTCACTGATCCTGTAGAAATCATTTAATTTCTCTATTTTATTTTATTTTATTTTTTTGAGACAGAGTCTCTATCAGTCACGCAAACTGGAGTGCAGTGGCATAATCTTGGATTACTGCAGCCTCCACCTCCCAGGTTCAAGCTATTCACCTGCCTCAGCCTCCCCAATAGCTTGGATTACAGGCACATGCCACTACACCTGGCGAATTTTTTTTGGTATTTTTGGTAGAGATGGAGTTTCACCATGTTGGTCAGGCTGGTCTTAAACTCTTGACCTCAAGTGAGCCACTTGCCTTGCCCTCCCAAAATGCTTGGATTACAGGTGTGAGCCACCACGCCCGGCCGGAAGTTATTTAATTAGTTTCCTCCTCTGTGAGATCGAGAGACTAACAGGATTGCTCTCCTGGGGTTGTTAGGAAGATTCCATGAGATGAAGCTGGGGAAGCATCTGCCCCAGAACCTGGCTTGAGATGCGAGTAGCTGTAATTTCTTTAATAAGACTGAGAGTGACGGGACCTACCTCGCGGGTCCGGAAGATGATCCTGTGCTGATACTGAGGCCCGTGCTCCTTGTGATCTTCCAGCTTCTCCCGCTTAATGCTCACAGCCACTGGCCCCAGCTTCTCATCCACGCCAAAGTAATTGGCATGTTCTAAGGAAGAGCAGGCAAGTTCAGGGTCAGCTGTCTGGGAAGAAGGGGCCCCGACACCCAGCAGACCTGTAGATGGGGGGACCAGGCTGGCTCTCGTGCAATCTGTGGGATGCTGGTCATGCAAACCTCATGCAGGGCCACAGACCACACCCCCCAAAGTGAGAAACCACAAAGCCCACCTTACTGTACCACCTCTGCCAAGTCACATAACTTTTTTGAGCCTCAGTGCTCTCATCGGAGAAAAGGGGGCCTTGAGGCCACCCACAATCCGGAGCTGATGTGAGGGCAAAATGATGCTACAAATCTGAAACTCAGTGCAGTACGTGGCATGTCATCAACCCAGCATCACTATGATAATTCTCGTGTTTGCAAAAAGGTTCACTTGCCTTGACTGCCGATTAGCCCTTGTGAAATTGTTAAGATTCTGGTCTAGAGAGCCTCCTCCTACCTGGGCTCTGCCCCTTAACAGCCCCAGCCAAGTTGCTAGACAGCATTTTCAGCCGTAAAATAAAGCTTAAAGTGGACCCAGCCTTCAGCACTGTGCCAGGCACATAGTACACACATGGTAAGTGTTGGCAATGACTGTACCCAGGGCCTGGCATCTGTCAGGGACCATGACAGGGGCCCCAGGCATCGCCTCTGTTGCACCTTGTTTCTTTACCTAGGTAACTTCAACACTGCTCTTTTTTCCCTCAGGGTGACAGAGGCTTTAGCCAGTCATGGGGCACACCTCCTGCTTCCTCTTCTACCTGACAGCTGCCTCCTCTTTTTTTCCCTAAAACATGCTGCTATCTTATAACCCTTCCAGGCAAACCATTCTTCCTGATGTATAACTCAAGTATCTCGTGCCTGTGTGGGTATCCGCAGGGGTCTGTGCTGACCCAAGTCCGCAAAGTCAGCATCTACCCATCACCGGAAACTGTACTGGTACACTGAATGTTTAACTGATGGTTCTTATTCTCGTCAGACGCTCTTGGCACAAAAGCTAATTTAAGGGCAAAATATTGTGTGTTAATTAACACCCAAATCAGAATAGCACCTGCAAGGGGGGCCGGTGGGTGGCGGGTTTCAACAATCTCTCCAGGTGGTCAGAGAATGGAATCAACATTGTATGCCACAGATCACAGATACCAGTTTATTCCTGAAGCAGCTACAGGGGTTGCTGCCTTTCCCGTCAATACATGTATTATCTAGCTCCTTGCAAATCCTAGCATACAGTAGGCACCGAATAAACACTGACCTACAACTAATTTATTTACTAGCTTTGACAAAGATTCTCTGCTTGGCCAAACTTTGTTCAGACTTTGGAATCTCCTCCTACGCCCACCTGTGCTCCCCCTTGTAAAATCCAGTTTTATTAAAGAACCTTGCTAAGTAAGTTTAGCAAGAACCCCACTCCCCAATATCTGAACATCCTCCACATCTGATCAAGCTCTTCATCCTCCACCACCCAAAGGTGATATCTGATCATCCTGGCGTGTCATCAGCAAGAATATGGTTCGGTTGGTTTACCTAGAATCTTCCTTACCCTTGACATTTCTTCTTAGTGATTTCTTCCATGCACTGACCCCTACACCCTGCTTCTTGGCTATAAATTCCCACTTGACCATGCTGTATTCAGAGTTAAGCCCAATCTCTCTTCCCTACTGCCAGACCTCATTGCAGTGGTCCCTTTGCCTCCTGTGATGGTTCTGAATAAAGTTTTCTTTACTGTGCTTTAACAAATATTATTCAACAGTTTTTCTTTTTTGAGACATGGTCTTGCTCTATCACCCATGCTGGAGTGCAGTGGTGTGATCATGGCTCACTGCAACCTCTGCCTCCAGGGCTGAAGTGATCCTCCCATCTCAGCCTCCACAGTAGCTGAAACTACAGACACGTGCTGCCACACCTGGCTAATTTTATAACCTTTTTTTGAGGGCCTCACTATACTTCCCAGGCTGGTCTCAAACTCTTGGGGGCAAGTGATCATCCGTCTCGGCCTTTGAAAGTGCTGGAATTCTGTCATTACAGGTGTTCAGCGAGGCCTTGTGCTGGGCCAAACATTTTTTTCTTTAACAGTTTTCAGGGCTACAAAGAAATTTTTAAAAAGAAAATGGCTTTTTTTTTTTTTTAAAGCTCCATGATGAGTACTTCCTACCTAACAAGAACTAAGTATTTTAATGTATAATCTTATTTGATCCACATTCCTTTCATGTAAGTATTTGTACATGTAGGTTGAAAAGAATGTGTTCTTTGTTGCTTAGGTACAAAGTTAATATACATAAAATGTAAAATAGAGTTTTCATTAGGTTAGTCAAATCCTTTAAATCCTTATTTTTCAGCTACTAGATTCTGTCAATTTCAGAGAGAGAGTCTATGCACTTCTCCCAGCTATGATTGTGAATTTTTCCACTTCTCCCTGTAGCCTTATCCATTTTTTTTTTTTTTTTTTTTGGGTCAGCGGGAGAGTTTCACTCTGTTGCCCAGGCTGGAGTGCAGTGGTGCAATCTCAGCTTACTGCAACCTCTGCCTCCTGGATTCAGGATATTCTCCTGCCTCAGTCTTCCAAGCAGCTGGGATTACAGACACCCACCACCACGCCCAGCTAATTTTTGTGTTTCTCGTGGAGACAGGGTCTCACCATGCTGGCCAGGCTGGTCTCAAACTCCTGACCACACATAATCTGCCTACCTCAGCCTCCCAAAGCGCTAGGATTGCAGGTGTGAGCCAGCGTGCTCAGCCAGCTCTATCCATTTTTTAAATCTAGATACTCCCAAATCAAGTTGCCATGTATACAAAAGTTCGCAACTACCAGAATTTCTTGGCAAATTTTAAGAAACATGAAATGGCCTTCTTAGTTCCTCTAAAAAGTACTGTCAACCTTTAAATCTATTTCATGTGATACTGATATTGCGTCATTGGCTTTTTCCTCTTAAGCAACTGTCTGGAACTTCTTTTTGATCCTTTTCTTTTCCATCGCTGTGTCATTTTGTTTGTGCATGTGACATTAAGATAATCGTCTTCATTTGTCACGCAGTCTGAAGGGTAAAATGTATCACATAGCTGATCAGCTACGGAACAGACACACAAAACTGAGGGCTGCCTGACAACAAGTTAGAGCTCCCGAGACTAGACTCTGAGCCCCACGGGACGACTTAACTGACATTTGTTATGTTTGTCAAGGACACTACTTTAAATACTTTCAAAAACTAGTTGCTGTGGTCCAGGCAAAAATACAAAAATTACAAAAATACAAAAATACAAAAATACAAAAAATACAAAAATTAGCTGGGCATGGTGGTGGGTGGCATGAGCTTGTAATCCCAGCTCCTGGGCTCCCATCTTAGACATGCCCATCACCTCCTGCCTGGACTACTGCAGCAGCCTCCTCCCGGTTCCCCTGTCCCCTCCCTGCCCCTCACAGTCCGTTCCCCACATGCAGCTGGAGGAGGTTGTGAACACAGAAGTCAGATCAGGGCCCTGCCCTGCTCAAAGCCATCCATTTCATGCAGGGTACAAACGATGTCCTCGCCACAGCCCACAAAATCCCAAGCGACCTGCCCCGTCACCTCTCGCTCTCTGCCTCAGCTCCATCCACTCTCCCCATCACTCTGCCCCAGCAGCACTGACCTCCTGTCTGTTCCTCCAACATTCCAGGACTTACTTTTGAAATTGACTCTCTCTCTATCACCCAAGCTGGAGGATGGAGTGCAGTGGTACAGTCTCGGCTCATGGCAACCTCCACCTCCTGGGTTCAAGTGATCCTCCTGCCTCAGTCTCCTGAGTAGCTAGGACTACAGGCATGTGCCACCATGCCCAGCTAATATTTGTATTTTTAGTGGAGACAGGGTTTTGCCATGTTGGCCAGGCTGGTCTGGAACTCCTGACCTCAACTGATCCGCCCACCTTGGCCTCCCAAAGTGCTGGGATTACAGGCATGAGCCATGACACCTGGCTGTTCTGGGACTTTTCTACTCACTGTTCTGTTCCGGGAACACTGTTTACAATCTGCACATAGTGCCTTCAGCTCAGTACTCAAACAGGACCTGCCTCGGAGGCCCTCTCTGACCTTCCTCTACTGAGATCTTCCCCCTCACCCCTCACCACCTGACACTCCATTTCCTTCTTCCCCGATTGACTCTTTTCCACTGCATTTAGCACCCTGTAATCCCTTGTGTATTTTTCATATTTATCCTGTTCTATTGTTCATATTACCCATGAAAACATTAAGTGCTAGGAAGACAGAGTTTTTGTCTTAAGCTGGTTGATACTACATCCCCACGCTCCACAGAGTGCCTGGCACTGAGCTGTACCAAGCCCATATGTGCTGAGTAAATGTAGAGCTGTTGTGTCCTGTAGCTCAAGGTTTATGGAGTGTTGCTGTGTCGGACACAGGGCTAAGGCCAGGGTGGCTCTGCTCACCGGATCCTCACAGCCCCCTCGGACCGAGGCCTCTGTTCCTACCACATCCTCAGTGCCAGAGCAGAGCCTGGCACAGAGTGAATGAATGAGTAGCGACGGGTCTCGGAGACAAGCCGCGGCCCGCCCAACCTTCCCATCCACCCACCATCCGTCACCTTTGCCCACGAAGTAGTCCTGGTAGTAGCGGGCACCCAGATCCACGTGCTCGATGCTGTACTGCCGGGGCCGACTCTGCGTCCGCTGCTGCTCCTTGGGCACTTCCAGCACCGAGATGCTGGCGTTGGTGCGGTAGGCGCTCAGGGCGGGCTCCGCCTGGTGGCCCTCGCCGCCGCTGGGGGAGCCCACGGACGCCCGGGAGAAGCTCACGTTGCGTTCACACTCGCCCCCGATCTCGTTGCGGAAGTGCGGGCAGCTGAGCAGCAGGTCGTTGCTATTGTCATCGCCGAGGTCCTGCTCCAGGTTCTCCTTGCAGTTCAGGTCCTCCGTGCTGGTGAAGGCCGGGTCCAGGCCTCCGAGGCTGTGAGCCCGTGAGGCCGTGAGGGAGGCCATGGCCGAGGCGGCAGAGGCGGCGGAGGCGCCCGTGGTGGTGTTCCGCCGCTGCGCCACCGACACCCTGTTGGCGGCCGCCTCGTTGAGGTCGAACAGCATGCTCTGCACGTCGAAGTGGGCGAAACTCTTCTGACACACCCACGGCCTGCTGGCTTCCGGAGGGCTCCGGCCCTCATCGGCCTCCCCCGGGGACCTCCCGGCCTCCGCCTCGGGTTTGCTGCTCCTCAGCTTCCGAAAGATGGACGAGTCCACCGTGTCCCCGCCGCCGAGGCCCCGCACGGGTTTCTTCCGGGCCTTCTCCTTCTCCTTCTCCTTCGTGGGCTGCAGCGGCAGGAGGCTGTCCTTGGTGGGCTGCCCGTTGCGGGGGTCCCCTTTGGCTCCGCCGCTGCCCGCCATGAGGTGCGAGCCAGGATCTGCCCGGAGCAGCTCGGTGAGGGCCTGGCAGCCCGGGGCCTCAGGCTGCTCGCTGCGGAACTCGTTGAGGATGTCGAAGAAGCTCTGCTCAGGCACGCCCTGCACGTCAATGGATGAGGTGCTCCCATACTCGCGGAACAGGGGCAGCGCCCCCGTGTGCCGGGCACCCCGCGGCTCCCCGGAGTCCTCCGCGTCACACTCGCTGAGGGTGATCTCGCTGCTGCTGCGGTGCCGAAGGGGGAGGAAGGCCCTGCCTGGGGACCGGGGCCACCCGTCCTGGAATTCCACGTCTTTGGATCTTCTCCTGGAGAGTCGGTGGAAGGCTTTGGACCCTGAGGAAGCTGGGGTGCTAGCGGGGAGCTGTCCGTTCTGTATGCTCCTCATGGCATGGGCCATCTTGGTGGCCTTTGCGCCATCTGCGTCCTGTGAGGGGCTTGGGTTGCTCTGCTCTCTCAGGACCTCCCGCTTGGGTGGCCAGTCGGCCACCCTTGCGCGCACGCCCATCTTGGGCATGGCCGGGGTGGTGGGGCTGGGGCGGGTGGTAGTGGTGGCCGGGCTTTCGCCAAGAGGCTGGGACATGCTGCCATTCTGGGCCCAGAATCCCATGGGAGCGTAGTCCCCTGTATGTGGCCCAGGGAGGACTTCCCCCGCTCTGGCCCCACAGCTGGTTGCCAGGTCCACACCATCACTGGGAATGGCCCGATAGGTGGTCATAGTCCACGGGCACTGGAGTACTGCTGGCCCTGGATGCTGTGGTGTTGCTCTATGGGGTCCCCCAGCCCTCAGCCATTGTTCAGGGCCGCCAGGCCCAGGATGAAGGATGCTGGGCCCTGAAACCTGACAGGAAGGTTGTGAGCCTGTGGAGTCCAGTTCTCCACCATCGCTGTGCACAGCTGAGCCAGGACAACCTCAGGAGGCAGGTGCTGTCCTGGGTGCTCCAGACCGAGGGGCTCAGCAGCGCAGAGCAGGCAGCAGCTGTGGGTGCCGGCCGGCCGGAGGCGGCGAGGATGTTGTCCCGGTCATGCTGAAAAGGAAGAAAAGGAAAAGGTGAGCTGCAATGGCTGCGTTACTGCTCCCAGAAAGTGGGAAATGTGAGTTTTTTTTCTTGACAGCTTTACTCATAAAAAAACAAACAAACAACTTTTTATTATGGAAATTTGCAAACATACTCAAAAGCAGAGAGAAGACTGAGTCACCCATCAGCTGCAACAACCACTATTTCCCATTCCCATTTCATCTATTCACCCAGTCTTATTACTTTGTTTCTGATAGAATATTTTAGACTAAACCCCAGACATCAGGTCATTTTTTTTTTTTTTTTTTTTTTTTTTGGGAGACAGTCTCGCTCTATCACCCAGGCTGGAGTGCAGTGGCATGAGCTGGGCTCACTGCAACCTTCACCTCAAGGGTTCAAATGAGTCTCCTACCTCAGCCTCCTGAGTAGCGGGAATTCCAGCACATGCTACTATGCCCGGCTAATTTTTTTGTATTTTTAGTGGAGTCAGGGTTTCTCCATGTTGTCCAGACTGGTCTCAAATTCCTGGCCTCAAGCAATCTACCCGCCTTGGCCTCCCAAAGTGCTGGGATTACAGGTATGAGCCACCATACCTGGCCAGACATCAAGTTATTACACCCATAAATATTTTAGCTTGTATCTCTAGCAGATAAGGTCCTTAAAAAAATCACTACAATAACATTATCATACTCATCTAAGTTAACAAGAATTCTTTCGTGTCATGCACCACCCTGCCTGTATTACATTTCCTGCCATTGTCTCACAGGTGTCTTCCGTGGGCTGGTTTGTTTAAAATCATCCTCTGCTTATGCAGGTATTTTCTTAAGTCTCCTCTACAATGGCCACTTTCCTTTATTTTGATGTTCTTTACTTGTGGAAGAAAAGGGGTCACCTGTCCTGTGGATTTCCCCACTTTGAGGATCCTTGTGGTGCCACTTAACATGTTCCTTTGCCCCCTGTATTTCCTGTGAACTGGTGGCTTCATGCAGAGGCCAGACTATTGTCCATCTGCTCTGCTGTTTGCTCAGCTCAGCTACTCTGCCAGAAAGGAAGTGAAAATGACAGATGAGTCAATATGAGCACCAGTGGAGTCTGGGGAGGAAAGCTGCAGAAGGAATGTCTCTAGAAATCCACGTGGTTACTACAGACTACCACTGGGTACATCAGAGCTCATCACTTTCTCACTGAGATCTCCCCAGTGACTGCTTACTGCATTAAAACGCCATCCAAACTCCTTCCCTTGCTCCACAAGCCCCACAGGATCTGGCCCCTGATGTCTCTCCCCATCCCTGACTAAGCTCTGACCGTATTGGTCTTCATTTCTGTTCTGATGCTTCTTTTCTGTTCTGATGCACCAAGCCTTATCCAGGATATCTGACATTCTTCCTCAGTCCTTCCTGGGGTTGATTCCTTCCCATGATGTCAGTTCTTCCATGGAGACTTCCGGCTGGGCGTGGTGGCTCATGCATGTAATCCCCAGCACTTTGGGAGGCCCAGGCAGGCAGATCACTTGAGCCCAGCAGCTCAAGACCAGCCTGATCAACATGGCAAAACCCCATCTCTACTAAAAATACAAAAATTAGCTGAGTGTGGTGGCATGTGCCTGTAGTCCCAGCTACTCAGGGGGCTGAGATCAGAGGATCGCTTGAACCCAGGAGGTTGAGATTGTGTGAGCCATGATCATGCCACTGCACTCCAGCCTGAGCAACAAAGTGAGACTCTGTCTCAAAAAAAACCTCCCAAAACAAACAAACAAACAAACAAAAACCCAAAAACTTCTCAAATCACCGTATAGAGATAGAGAAGCTCCATCTTCTGGAAGCCTTTCTTTTTCTTTTTTTGAGACAAAATTTCACTCGTTCCCCAGGCTGGAGTGCAATAGCACGATCTTGGCTCACCACAACCTCTGCCTCCTGGGTTTAAGCAATACTCCTGCCTCAGCCTCCCGGGTAACTGAGAATACAGGCATGTGCCACCCGCCCGGCTAATTTTGTATTTTTAGTAGAGGCAAGGTTTCTCCAATGTTGGTCAGGCTGGTCTCGAACTCCCGACCTGAGGTGATCCACCCGCCTCCGCTTCTCAAAGCGCTTGGATTACAGGTGTAAGCCACCGCGCACAGCCTGAAAGCCTTTCTTTTTTTATTTTATTATTTTATTTTAGTTTAGTTTAGTTTAGTTTAGTTTTTTGAGACGGAGTTTCGCTCTTGTTACCCAGGCTGGAGTGCAATATCTCGGCTCACCGCAACCTCCGCCTCCCGGGTTCAAGCAATTCACCTGCCTCAGCCTCCTGAGTAGCTGGGATTACAGGCACGTGCCACCATGCCCAGCTAATTTTTTGTATCTTTAGTAGAGACGGGGTTTCACCATGTTGACCAGGTTGGTCTCGATCTCTCGAGCTCGTGATCCGCCCGCCTCGGCCTCCCAAAGTGCTGGGATTACAGGCTTGAGCCACCGCGCCCGGCTAAAGCCTTTCTTAATTACCCACTCTACCTTCTTCCAATTTTTCTTAGCAGTTGTGCATTCTGTCTACTGCCTGTGTCCACCACTCAGATGTTGGCTCTATAATGGCAGGGATGTCTGTTGTTCGCGGCTGCATCTGCAGTATCTAGAACAGTGTCCAGGACGTTTGTTCAGTATTTATCATAAGTACAAGTGAACAGATGGCCTCTGCCTAATTGGAGGTATAAGTACCTCCTGATTTGCAGGCCTCTGGGGAAGGGAGTTTGTGCTTCTGTCCAACACAGAAAACACTCTGTGGGGTCACTTCCCTTTGTCTCCACCTTGAACTTCTAGATGATGAAAACCCTGCTGGAGAGGAAGGGGAAAGTGGGTCGCCGTCTGTGATGGAACCTGTTGACTGCCCAGCAGCCGTGCCCCACCCTCCTGCCAATAGAAGTGATTTTTCTCAGGGCAGGAGAGTGCTGCTTTGGGCTGGGCACTCAGCTCAAGGTGACCTCTAACTTTTCATTCCCTAGGAATCTACAGCTGGATGCAGCTATTCTTGGTCAATGGCTATTGGTGCTTCCCGTGTGAGGAAGTAGTAGGCGTCTTCTGCGTGTTTGTGTCTGTTTGTGCGTGTGTGTTTGCATATGTATGGGGACTTTTCCTATTTGCGCCCAGAGGAATGGAGTGAACTGGCAGAGACCAGGAGGGAAGCTCAGAGCAGACTCAAGGAGCAAAATAGCAAGGAGAGCCTGCAGCCTCTGAAAAAGTAGGCGTCAGAAGGGGGCAGGTGGGGAGTGGGGAGCAATGGAGAGCCCCTCTTCCTGGTGCCCCATGAGAACACAAACAATCCTGAAGATGCTGCAGGGAGGCAGCACGGGGATGGGCTAGAGAAGAGGAAGGAAGCTGGAGGGCCCGCGGGGTCGGGTTGCCTCAGGGAGACAGGAGAGAGGCCAAGAGGAGCCTGCACTGACCTGGACAGCAGGGTATCTTCTGCCAACCAAGACTTGCGGGGGTGTGGATGTCAGATCATCTGATTTTTCAAGAGAAATCAGAAATCTGGAATTGCATGCAACATCTCCCAATTGAAAAGCAAAAATACAGGCTGGGCATGGTGGCTCAGGCTTAGAATCCCAGCACTTTGGGAGGCTGAGGCAGGCAGATTGCCTGAGGTGAGGAGTTTGAAACCAGCCAGGCTAACATGGTGAAACCCATCTCTACTAAAAGTACAAAAATTAGCTGGGTGTGGTGGCCCATACCTGTAGTCCCAGCTACTTGGGAGGCTGAGGCAGGAAAATCACCCGAATCCAGGAGGCGGAGGTTGCAGTGAAACGATATTGCGCCACTGCACTCCAGCCTAAGTGACAGGGCAAGATTCCATCTCAAAAAAAAAAAAAAAAAAAAAAAAAAAAAAAAAAAAAAAGGAAAGAAAAGAAAAAAACAACAGAAGCAACAAACAACAAACTATCATGCAGAGATGACTGGAAGAATTTTCAAGAAACTGCTAATAATGCTTGCCTCTCTGTGTCTGTCCCCATCACTCCCAAGTCCTTCCCCTGCTCCATTTTTCTCCTTAGCACTTATGAACAGGCTTACTTCTTTCTCTTACTCATTTTTATTTTTTTAGAGACAGGGACTTCCTCTGTTGTCAAGGCTAGAGCACAGTGATACAAGCATAGCTCACTGCAGCCTCGAACTCCAGTGCTCAAAATATCCCCCTGCCTCAGCCTTCTGAGTAGCTAGGACTACAGATACATGTCACCACGCCCAGCTAATTTTTAAATTTTTGGTAGAGGTGGGGTCTCACTATGTTGCCCAGGCTGGTCTTAAACTCCTGGGCTCAAGCAATCCTCCCACCTCAGCCTACCAATGTACTGGTATTACAGGCATGAGCCACCATGCCCAGCTGCCTCAACGATTTTCTCATTGGCATCTGGGAACTCATCTGCTACCTCTCGCTGGCAGAAGTTGCTTCTCCTGATACCTTAACATTGTTTAAGCCATACTCTTTCTAAAATTATCAAACCATCCTTTGCTGGCATTAAATTCTCCAGCTGGAGATCCTTCTCCTTCCTTTTGCTTTAGCTTGCCACATAATGACTTCACCTTTTCTCGAAGCAAATTAAAGTCTATAGGTATGCCTTTCTTATAGTAATCCAGTATCCTCATAGAAGCTGCATTTGCAACATGAGATAAAAATATATTTTGTAAAAAGTGCAAGGTTTTTGTGCCTGCTGGCATAGGTGCAGCGACAGCTTCATGAACTTCCTCTTCATTTATTACAGTGGTCCTCACATTACATTCATTGATATGGAAATGGCAGGCAACTGCAGCTGCAGACCTCCATCAATGGCACGTATCAAGCAATTGCATATTTTCTTGTAATGTTATGACTTTTCTCTGCTTCTTGGGGCAACTTCCAGCATCACTAGTGACACTCTGTACGGGTCCCCTGGGGTTATTCAGCGTTTATGGTATTGCACTAAACATGATGAAAAATACGTGAGAACCTCCAGGGATCACTTTTTACTGCAATATGCAATTTGCTGGAGAGACAAACTGCTCACG